AGTAAAAAGTGTTACACCATGTTACAGTTTTGCACGTCACTGTATGTACATACTTATGTACATACATATGTACTTTATTACTTCCAATAACTTTTTTTTTGAAAATTTATTCTAAAGGATTGAATTGCGGCAAGTCTGTTGATGCCGACGCAATAACTGTTTGATGACTTATACGCCTTTGGCCGTTATAAATTAATTAGCATACATACATGCATTACATATGTAAATATTTGCACATACGAAGTCGCACATGCATGAATTTTTATTGGAGCTTATATAAACATTTCAAATTTACTAATTCGTTCTTAATTGTTGTTGTATGTAATTGGTTTGTGGTTATTGAACTGCTGCAGCAATCATACACATGTTTACATTTTTACCTGTTAGTGCGAATGTGGACATAATCCCACATAAACCCTCCAGGAAAATTTTAACATAAAATTATAATTTTATGTTTCTTTGAATTCGTAAATTATAAACTACGTATGTAGGCATAAACGTTGTGAAAAATATTTGACTGAAAATAAATTATCTATATATTCCAATAACAAAAAAAAACGGTACTATGGTTCCATTGGAATTATAAAATCTATTATATTTTAAGACGTCCACCAAAATATTTCGGAAAAATATTAAGATTTACATGAGCCGATTTGAAAAGACCTACAAAAATGGAGTTTTTCATATATACAAATAGTTTCTTAAAGATTTTTTGTTTAAAAAATTCCTTCAAATGACAAAACGGTTTAAGCTTATAAAATTTGCATAAAAATATTTTTTATCAGATTTTTTATGCAATTTTTTCTAACTTTTTTCAGAGATTGGTATAAGAAAAACTTGAATAACTGAACCTAAACTCTTCCGCTTTAGGCTTGTGAGATGTCATTGGAAAGGTATTTTCTCACCCTTTTTATTTGGTTGCTAATAAACTCATTCAAACGATGAAAGAGAGAGGTAGGATGAACGAACGTCATTCAAAGTTGAATTAAGATGTGTTGGTATTTGAAAAATAATTGGTATACGAATGACTTTTTTTTTGGACAGAAATAAAAAGAGTGGGAAAATACCTTTCTATTGAGATCCCATAAGTCTAAGTCAGAATAGGTTTGGCCCAGTTATTCAAGTTTTTCGTAAATCAATCTTTGAAAAAAGTAAAAAAAAAACAGCATCAAAAATCTCATTCTTACGATTCCGTTGAAATTACTTTTAAATATTTTTATGCAGATTTTTTTAAGCTTAATCTGATTGTCATCTGAGGGAACTTTTTTCAAAAAGTTTTTTAAGAAACTATTTTTAAACATAAAAAACTCCATTCTTAGAGGTATTTTCAAACCGGTCCAGCCCACTTAAATCTTAATATTTTTCCGAAATATTTTGGTGCACGTCTTAAAATATAATAAATTTTGTAATCCCGACAGAAAAAGCCCAACTTTTTTGGTGATGCAGTCTAATGTATATATATAAATATTTTTTCTTTAAATTTGGGTTAAATTTTCAAGGTTAAATTTGAGCATATTTAATTTTTTTGTTATGGCTATCGATAAACAATTTTCTACTTAAAAAAAAAAACGCGAATAAAAGTTTAAACCCGTTCAAAAGTTATAGATTATTGATCACTCACACCACTAAAAAAAGTACACTGTGCCGCATCTTCGGATCGGAAAACCCGCACGCGATCGTCGAGAAGCCAATGCATCCTCAGAGAGTGACAGTTGGGTGTGAACTTTGGAACGGTGGCAGCATTGCAACCTGCACTGAGCGGTGCAAATAACTTCCAGGTTTGGCAAGAGCTTCATAACTCTGTAGTGGGTATTAAGAATGCCTGTCACAAATCATATTTCGTCCCTTGTAAGTTGAAAGAGTAGAGTGCTTTAGTACTCCTAGGAATATTAGAGTTATAACGTTATCCCGTTCGTTGGAGCGATATTGATACATCTCTTTAACATTTTCATTTCATTCTTCTTCTTATCTACCTGTGGCCGCTGTGGCGGAGTGGTTAGAGGTGCGTACTACCACTCCGTACGAGCTGGGTTTGATTCCTGGTACGAGCAAAATCTAAATTAGAAAAAGTTTTTTCTAACAACGGTCGCACCTCGACAGGAAATGGCAAACTTCAGAATGTATTTCTGTCGTGAAGAAGCTTCTCATAAAATCAATTTGGCGGTGTAAAATTGAAGTTTCCTCTATTTGTCTAAAAACATCAAGGCGCACACCACAAATTGGAGGAGAAGCTCGGCCAAACATCAACGCAAAAACTGTAATGCCACTAGGCATTGAAATGACAAAAAAAGGAAGCCATTTAAAAAAATGCCATGTGTAAATTAACTCAATGACTATTTTTTTAACGTAATGACACGATTATTTTTTAATGCCCAACTTTGTCATTTGTAATTTTTGCCATTTAATGCCTAGTGGAAATCCAGCATAAGTGTATTGTTATTATTATTATTTGGGTCGGGTTCGAAATTGTCGGCTTCGATAATTGTCTTTCTTCTTTGGGGCATTTCACGTCAAACGGACAGGAAAAAATATTATGCCTTTGAATTCGTTGATATTTTGTGTAATCCTACCTGAACTAGTTATGAAAGTGAAGACACCATTTTTTTTTGTATATGGTGGTTATTTGTCGGTTTACGGCGGAAGAAAAGTAAAAATGAAAATTAGTTTTTGTTTTAAAGTAGTTTTTTTTGCAGTGAAAAAAAAATCTAAAATGTATTAAACTTCACTATCTGTATAGAAAATTTCTCGCGTTTTTTAAAAACAAACTCAATTTACAAGAAAAAATGAAAAATTATAGCACACCCATGATAAAAACATAGTAAGGTAAAACCGTTTCGTAAAGAGAACGAAAAATGACACTGAAGATGGCACAACGCCGAAACCGGTTTGTCTGCAAACCAAACTTGACAAGGGATGACGGGAATTCGTTCCAAAATAAATCATCTTACCACCCTGTCGGAAAAATCCACCAACAACAACACATAAAACCGTCCCCTTAATTCGTGAATATCGTGTCTCGTACTATCTACGTCAGTATGTTTTTCGTCCAACCCTTTTGACGAGAAGTCGTCGCTAGTAGCGCAACCGTTTTTCGAAGCCAAAAACGACAATCGGCAAAGTTTTTTGAGACGAGTATTATGTACTTTGTTTTTATTTATCTAAGCAACGTACATATTTCATATACAATTAATTGAAAAAATCTAATAAAAAAAACATTATGCACACTCGAATTCGCGTGCCATATGTTACGCGTAAATCAAATTTTGCAATAAATTAACGAATAAGTGTTTTGAATACAAAATGAATTCTCAATGGAACAGGTGTGAAATAGAAAAGCATCCACACATACACTAGGCGACAAATGAAAGTGCAATCCTTGTTCTAATATAATATTCACAATTATTTTCATGAAAAATTGTTTGCCTTATTTAAGTATTTATGAAAATATAGTTCATTCTATAATATAAACCATATAAATGAAATTTTCACACTTTATATAAAGTTCACAAAAATTCAAAAAAATGTCAT